CAGAGTAAGCCTAATTCCCTGTTTGGACTTCTCTTTTCACATCCACCCCTTGGCGCTCGTATGACCTTATGCAGTTGCGAGCACCGTAAAACCTTACTAAAACTTTTTTAAAACTGAAAATGACCCAATCTGTTCAGGGGTAGAAATTGATCTACTGCACAAAGGGAAGAGATCACTGTTCAGTTATTGTTCAAATGTACACCTGTGATATTTACTTTGGTGCATCTTCTCTGCCTTTGTTTCTTCCTGACTTTGTTTTCGTCTCTCTTCATAATGTTTCACTTTATTAATTTTGGAATAAAAAATGTTACTGTGGTTGTAAAAGGTCGCAGGTCTTTCTAAAATGAATGTTCCTATTTCTTGGCATGATGACCTTAACCAGATCTACATGTACTGTGTAGTGTAAGACTCCACCATATACCATTTAACCCTATCTGTACGCCCTGGGATAATTTTGTATCCCCGGGGTTGTATTTTTCACATTTTAGAATACTGCTAGTACGAAGATCTCTTTGAAACTTTCAGTATTTCTCAAAAAATCATTTTGACAGACTACTCTGCAAAGCGTACGGTTCAGATTAACGAGTAAATTTCCTCTTTGGAAAGTGGTGGCACAGAGTTCCCTAAGTCGTATGGGTACGATAATAAAACACGACGTACGGATAGGGTTAAAAGTGATATATTACTGAGTCTTACACTTTGTAGTCGAAATAAAGACTGCTTTTTTTACACCTTTTTTTCTTTTTTAACTCTCAGGAAAATTTTTGATGGGTCCGACCCGAGGAGTGGATATCTACACACCACGCATCGACCTTACCAAGCCGCACTGTATGCGCTTCCACTACCACATGCGAGGGGAGGTACAGCAGGGCATGCGTGTCTCCGCCCACAAGATACAGCTGCTGGTCTGGGTCGGCAAGTGGATTGTGGAGGAGGTTTGTTCATGGCTTATGGATTGGGTTGGGGTTTTTTTTTAAGAAAAATTTCTTCAAGGCATTTAAGGTTTTGTTTCTGTCTTGTTTTGAGATAGAGAGGGTGGGGGGAGGAGAGAGTGAGTTACAGAGAGACGGAGAGAGAAAGGGAGGGGGGGAGAGAGAGAAACAGAGAGAGACAGAGGGAGGAGAGAGAGAGAGAGAGAGAGAGAGAGAGAGAGAGAGAGAGAGAGAGAGAGAGAGAGACACAGAGACAGGGACAGAAACGGAGAGCAACTCTATAGGTTGAACGCCCTTGCAATATTTGAAAGGATAGATCTATTTAACAGGAGGCGGGACCTCCGAGTTTAGCGTCCGTCCCCGACAGGAAGGAGTGAGATGGGAAAATACATGTACGTGTAGAAACATGTCTGTCTTTCTCAAGGACACATCGCCGGGCAGGAAGAGAGAGACTCAGAGAGAGACTCAGAGAGAGAGAGAGAG